ATGGGTGCCTGTCATTAAGAACAGCATCACTTAATCAGATCCTTCTATGGTTCCCAGATCAGGTCTAAATGTGTTTATTGCTTTGTAATTTGAAGACCTCGTTTTGCACAAGTACGTTGTAGTGCAAGAAAGAGACACAAATTGTGCATTTTGTGATATCTGAGTTCTCTTTAATTAGCTTGTTTTGAAAGTCATTTAGCAGATACTTATTTCTGTTTTGTTTCACTTGAGATCAGACGTTAGCACAACTATTAACGGTGCTTGGTAAATGAATTTTGTACCCGAGTATTGCTGTCCCTTCATCAAGGAAAATCTTTTAACAAAATGGAGTGTAGGGCTGGCCTGGTGGCGCACTGCTACAGTGCGCGGCTTGGGAGCACGGCGGCATTCCCGCCGAGGGTTCGGATCCCACATACAGACCGGCCGCTCNGGCACACAGATGTCAGTTGCTACTGTTTTTAAACAATTAAAAGCCATCTTTTAATTGTAATGTGTGTGTTTTACACTTGCTAGATTTAATGCTTTTCAGAACTACTGAGGATTATCCCCATACTAACATAAGTCTGATTGTGGTAAATAAGTAGTACGTCACGCAACTGATAATGTAGGCATTTTAGGCCACTTACAGATGTGAAAATTCTGTATGCAACAAGTTAAATTGTCATAGTTCTTGCCTCTAGAGAACTTCCCCTGATTTGAACAAAATCCAAGGGAGGAAATACTCTCGTCTGTAAGCATAATGCTCATGTGAAAATGGGGTGTTTCCACAAGAGCTGTTCCCAGATAACTTCATTGAAGGAATCATGCTGAAGGCTCACTAATTGTTTCCAAAATTGCTTTTGCTGGTGGTTTTATTTATTTATTTATTTATTTTTGTCCTTTTTGAGACCGGCCGCACCACGCTCAGCCANGGTCCCGGTCCGGTACGGGCGCGACACTGAGGGTTGCGATCGGTTGCCGGTCACGAAAAAAAAGACAAAAAAAAAAAAAAGGAGTGTAAGTTCAGCAGATACATTCCAAATGTCCTCATTAACTCTAAAGTTGTTTCAACAATATAGTTAGCTCAAGATCTCAGTCTCTCCCCACAACTATATTGTGTCTTCCCCAACCATGAACTGGGAGTCTCTTCAGTTAACTAGGTTTCTTTTAGGCTTCTCAATACAGTTACGTAGGCGGCATACCTTGGAGATAACAGTGGGTTTTGTTCCAGACCATCACAATAAAGCGTGTTGGAAGAAGATGCCGTCTAGGACTTCTAACACGAGGGAACTTCAGAAAGTTCGTGGAAAAATTCGTATTGTCTGATTTATATGGTCTTTTAATTCCATTTTTCTATGAACTTTTTGAAGTACCCTTGTATAAGGCTGTTTGATTAACATTGAAAATCTGCTGTTCAGTGTAGCCGCCTCTGTCAATGATCTCAGCCGGATCTTCTGGATCACTTGCTGCAGCTTCTACATCAGCACCTGCTGCCTCACCTTGCACTCTGATGTTATGGAAACGGTGTCTTTCCTTAAACCTCATGAACCAACCTCTGCTAGCTTCAGACTTTCCCTCTGCAGCTTCCTAACCTGTCTCAGCCTTCATGGAATTCAAGAGCGTTAGGGCCTTGCTGCGGATTAGGCTTTGACGTAAGGGAGTGGTGTGGTTTGATCTTCTATCCAGACCACGCAAACTTCCCCCCATCAGCAATAGAGCTGTTTCGCCGCCTTATCCTCCGTGTGTTCACTGGAGTAGCACTTTTAATTTCCTTCAAGAACTTTTCCTTTGCTTTCACAATTTGGCTGTTTGGCACAAGAGGCCTAGTTTTTGATCTATCTTGGTTTTTAAAGGGCCTTTCTCACTAGACTTCATCATTTGTAACTTGATTTAAAGTGAGAGAAAGGCATGGGACTCTTCCTTTCACTTGAACACTTAGAGGTCATTGTAGGGTTATTAATTGGCCTAATTTCAATATTGTTGTGTCCCAGGGAATGGGGAGGTCCAAGGAGGGAGGGAGAGAGGGAGGGGGGGAGAGAGGGGGGGGGGGGGCAGGGGA